TTCTCCTTTGCTTCTTTATGTTGTTAGTTTGTTTCATGTCTTGTGTGTTGCAGCAGCGGATTTCCTTTTTTTTTTTAATTAAGCTTAATTGCTGTCATGGAAGTAAAGGCAATATGATGATTTTTGTGAAATGTATGAGATTACTCTAGTTTGATAAGTAATTTGTTTTGACGTTGTCTTGTTTGGTTTATTCGACTAAACCAAATAACTTTTCCTCTACACTGGTCTAATCCAATATGATCCCTGCAAATCTATTTTCTATTCTTGGTCAAATCAGTATAACGGATGAGATACTCGTAGTTAATCATATAAGAATCTGTTCCAACATCTACTAGAGACTACATTCGTATGAGGATCTTTGCACCCTGCCACTGTTATAGAGATTCCATCGGGGGTTTTGCTGGCATTGATTTACATCAGTCCTCACCATTCTGATCTACATAGCATATTTGATAGTGTTTCTCAAGACTCAATGCAGTATGGATAAGGGTGATTCTTGGACACTAGTCCATGTAAAATAGACTAATGCAAATGCATAGTATCCAATATCTAGGAGAAATTGCCTTGGACATGAGTTGGTGTGTTGGAGTTCCATCCGTTGCTAAGTGAGAATTTGGCACTTCAACTTGAATGGTTTGGTGCAAACTGTCTTACATCTTCATTCCATACTCCCGCATTTACTCTTTAGGGATCACAAACTGACCATACGCGTTAGCTGAATTTTCTGGGTATACGAGGGAAAGAAGAGGAATACTTATTTGGCCTATTGGAGATTTTATGTAAACAATGTAACAGAGTCTACAGACTTAGCTCGCACTGTCCCGTGTGGAGCAAATGAGTGGGTGGAGTCAGATTGGTCTTTAGATTGGAAATTACAGAAAGATCTTTGATTTGTTGATAAAGCTCATATATCTGGCAGGTTCATCACATGGTTTTGTGCCTTGCCTTTCTGTAGGTTCATTCTCTGGATGGAGTTGACCGTTCCCCATTTTTTTTTCTTGTTCTGGGGTTATCAGGAGTCCAAATAAATATTATGTTAATATCTATGTGTTCTTACTTTAAACTTCTTAACCCCCATTTTTAGGAATTTTAGGGAACTTAGAAAGGGTGAATAAGAGTAGAGTTGCTAAAGTGAGTAAACTACATTATTCAAAAATCAGCGCTAATGAAGTTCTGTACTTTACAAATGTTTCAGGCATCGTCCCGGTTACAATTGAAGGGAGCCCGTAACTTCCTAAAATTCTTCCAGATTATTCACTAAAAGTCTAAATAAGCTAAACCTATTGTCTTCGAAGAAGAGTACATTTGATTGAAAATGTAATATTTTGGATACAAATGATCAGGTTTTGAATAGCCTCTCCTCAGGGTTAAAGAAACTACTCCCTCCATTCCAGTTTATGTACCCTATCTTCTTTTTTAATCCGTTTCTAAAGAATTGCCCCTTAGTAGATTTGGAAACAATTTAACTTGAATGTCCCATTTTACTCTTAATAACAAGCTTTTATCGCTACTCAATGTTATGACATGCTTAAGACATAAGTTTCAAAAGTCTTATAGTTCTTTCTTTCTTAAACTCTGTGTCCAGTCAAGCATGTTCACATTAATTTAAACGCAGGGGGTATTATATTTTTAAATGTTGCATCACCTATCGCATGTTTCTCCATATCAATTGAATGGACAGACAGGAACTTTCTATAGTTCTTTATGGATGTACAGTTTTATCCTCGTGACAAAATGCATTTTCTGGTATCCAGTGGGAGCCTTTTAAGTCCTTTCCTTTTTGGCGTCATGGCAGGTTGCAGTGATTGCACCAAATGTTCCTGCTATGTATGAAGCTCATTTTGGAATTCCAATGGCTGGAGCTGTTTTAAATGCTGTCAATGTTCGTTTAAATGCAGACACAATTGCTTTTCTTTTGGATCACTGCTCAGCTGCAGTTGTCATGGTGGACCAAGAATTCTTTTCCTTGGCTGAGGAAGCTTTAAAATTTTCAGAAAATAAGAGCAAAGGAAAATCAAATCGACCACTTCTTATTGTTATTGCTGATAAAAACTGTGATCCAGCCCCAGTCCAGTATGCGTTAGAGAAAGGGGCAATTGAATATGAGCAATTCCTGGAAACTGGTGATCCGGAGTTTCCTTGGAAGCCACCGCAAGATGAGTGGCAAAGTATTGCTCTAGGTTATACTTCTGGAACGACAGCTAGTCCTAAAGGAGTGGTGCTTCATCATCGTGGAGCTTATCTTATGGCTATGAGTAATGCTGTTGTTTGGAGTATGAAAGAGGGAGCTGTGTACCTTTGGACTCTACCTATGTTTCACTGCAACGGTTGGTGTTTCACATGGACACTTGCTGCAATTTGTGGGACTAACATATGTCTTAGACAGGTAATCGCTTGGCTCTTTTCTTGCACATGGAGGTTCATATGTCCTATTTATGGTACTTAGTTCTGAGTACTGTGCAACCTTGTTAATGCACATGCAAATAATGTAGGATAAATGTAGTTGATAACAAGATACCAGGCTTTGGCATGAGAGTGTACAATAGAAATACGAATGAACAGATGAAAGTCATGTTTGTTTATTTTTGACCACATTGCCCCGCCACTTTAGTTGACAAGTGTGTTTTAGAGTAGATGCGTATCTGGTGATTTCCTTTTTGTACGACCTGAATGTATATGACAGAAGTATTTAGTCTTATCCATCAAAAAAGGGTCGAAACGTGGGGGGATAGCATTTGCTGCTGCTATGTTCTCCAAGAGCTCTGCCCACCCTCCTAATTCTATTTTTTTTTTTTTTTGTAGAAAGACGCTCCTAATTCTTGTTCTGGGGGTCATAAAAAGATATGAACTGCCAACTCTTACCATTGAATTTTTAATAAAATGAAAACTGCTTATTTCACTAATAAAAAAGCACAATCCTTCCCCTTCTGCTATCTACCTTTACTCATTTCTTCTCCCACATACATGATAAAATGTTCAAATAATGGGTGATTATAAACGGAGATGTAGATAGAATCCTCTTGAAAAATATGGAGGAGTTAGATACTTCACCCCCCCCCCCCCCCCCCCAACACCCACCCTTCCATTTTCCAAGCTGAAATTCAACAAAAAATCAGTATTTAGTCATCTGATCATACAAAACATGCGAGTCACCAACAAGAAGCAATGGCATCTATTTTTACTATCTTAGGATGTTCATTAAAAAAAGTAGTAACACGTAGCTTACTTCCTAGTTAACACCCCAAAGGATTTTGCATGAGTTCTAGAGTCCGGATAAGTTTGAATACGCTATGAGAAAAGGGGCACTTGTTACCATTCTCAAAAAAAAAAAAAAAAAGAAAGAGAGGAGAAAAGGAGTACTTGGCTCTTAGGAATTAGGTCAATTTCTAGATGGAGATAAAAAGAAAAACATAACGTCTTTGAGGCTGGTTGAACGCATAGTTTTCTTCCCTTGCTTATGCTGGTTCATGACAAGTTTGCCTTTAATTTCTGTCCTGGGTCCATATGCAGGTAACAGCAAAGGCTGTTTATTCAGCTATAACCCACCTTGGTGTGACCCATTTCTCTGCTGCACCTGTGGTGCTCAACACCATGGTTAATGCCCCAAAAGAAGAGACTATCCTTCCCCTGCCTCGCCTAGTACATGTAAGCACAGCTGGTGCTTCTCCTCCTCCTTCAGTTCTTGCTGCAATGACTCAACGTGGCTTCCGTGTCTTACACACTTATGGCCTCTCCGAAACCTATGGCCCCTCCACTATATGCACATGGAAGCCAGAATGGGATTTACTTCCCACAGATGTCCAAGCACGTCTCAATGCGCGTCAAGGTGTCAGATATGTAAGCTTGGAGAAACTAGATGTAATTAACCCAAAGGACATGACACCTGTTCCAGCCGATGGAAAAACGATGGGAGAAATCGTCTTCAAGGGTAATGTTGTGATGAAAGGCTACCTGAAGAACCCTAAAGCCAATGAAGCTGCTTTTGCAGGAGGGTGGTATCATTCTGGTGATCTTGCTGTAAAACATCCAGATGGGTATATAGAAATAAAAGACAGATCAAAAGACATAATTATTTCTGGTGGTGAAAATATTAGTAGTGTTGAGGTCGAGAATATCTTATATCAACACCCAGCAATACTTGAGGTCTCTGTTGTTGCAAGGCCTGATGAGCAATGGGGGGAGTCACCTTGTGCATTTGTGACATTAAAGCCTAATGTAAAGGAAACGGATCAACAACAGTTGGCAGAGGATATTATGAACTTCAGTCGATCGAAGATGCCAAGGTACTGGGTTCCAAAGTCTGTGGTTTTTGGACCATTGCCAAAGACAGCTACAGGGAAAATACAGAAGCACTTGTTAAGGGCAAAGGCAAAGGAGATGGGACCGGTGAGAAAGAGTAGATTGTAGATGTAACACGATTGACTTGCTGTCAAATTTGTCTTTGTATGTATAAATTATCTGCTGTTTAGTGATCGGTCCATGCATCTCTTTGTGTATCATCACTCTCATTGCAGATAAATAAGGTTTACGAGTCGGTTTTGTCAGATAATCATGGGACGGAACTGTGAAACTTTTTCTTACCATGAACTATAGATGTGTATTGCATTTTCAAGCTGTTTGGTAAATTGTATCTTGATATTCTGGTGAAATGCCAGATCTTTTCATGAAGTAGTAATTCACTATGTTTTCGGTAAATGATTGTTATGAAACAGCATCTCAGATTGTCATCTTACCACTTGATAATTTCTTTATTATTAAGACACTGGAAATTGATAGAGTTGTATGTTTCTTAATGTCTATATGTTTCATAGAAGAAAGTCATTTACAAGGTAATTGCATGCAACAGTTTATAGTTAAATATATGTGGTTATCTTAAGAAAAGCTAAGTAACCTTTTACCAGATACTTTTTTAGTTAGTGTATTTAAGTTATGTTTACCCGTAAAACGGTGCAGTTGAATTTATACGTGATTTCTAGACAAGTGAATTAATTTGATCCTGAAATAATGAAATAAGTAAAGAAATGCGCAATACTTAGCCTTGAAATGAAGTTAAAATCACGAAAAATAATGATTCGGGGACAGGGCTTCCGGGCACAACAGTGATGAAACCAAGGAACAAAAAAGTAAAATTGTATAAAGCTTTTTATTGATTATAGCGTAAGTTTGCCAAAAAAAATTATGTTCACTACAATGATAAGAGAGCTCACTATTTATAGTTGCACCTAAGGAACAAAGTCCTAGGATCATGTCTTTCTTTAATGTCAATTATGAGGGCCATTGAAGAAGGTGTAACGGTGAGCGTAAATGGCAAATTCCCTGTAACGGGCAGCGCACTAAATGTTGTGGAATATTTTTTATTAAATACTACCGGACGGAGGGTATTTATTGCATCTTTATGAACATTATCCTTTCCGGTGACAAATAGGACAATCGCCTTCGGTTTTAGCTATCCCCGCCTTAGGTTCCACGTGTCCCTCTTTTGGACAGCCACGTAGCATAGCATACTTTACCCTATATAAATAGTCCCCCTGCTTTCCGGTGACATAACTTTGTGTCACCAGGAAGTTAGTAGAAACACTCTTTTTGGCAGGAATTACTATGATTCCTTCTAAAAAAACTTCTAACGGTTGATTAGACGCACGTCTCTCCACATTTAATGTCCCGAACACGCGTTATCCCACAATTCAGCATAACTTTTGCCGGTTATCGAGGTAATCATGGCCACGAATTTAGTCGCCTAAATCTTTACTTATACGCATTAACCTCTTTCATTCATACTCCATAACTATCCAAACTCTCTAAAACTCTCTTTATTCAACTTGCATCCTCTTCTTCAACCTTTCTTCAACTCTCTTCAAACGAAAACGTTTTTTCTTCTTCCATCTAATGGCTTCTTTTTCAAAGAATACCAGTTCTTTAAAGTACAAGAACAATGCCGAGGACTCTGCTCCTCCAATAGTGGACACCATCATCCCTAGAAGTCTTGTTACAACAAAAGACTTCGAAGAGAAATTTCCTTTTGTTAGCTCTCATACATGGCCCGTTAGTAGGTATCCTTCTTTCATCCGTCCTTCCAGCATTCCTGCTGCGAAGGAAGACTATCGTTGCCAGGACCTAGCCATTTTCGCTCCCGACCTGATAGAGCGGGTAACCTTACCCAAGAAGGGTTTTACGTACTTCTATACGTATCCCTTCACTTTGGGGACATTTTCTCTGAGTGGAGAGCTTGACTATGTTATTGAAGAGTTTTGCCTCCGCTATCAAGTGTGTCTGGAACAGATAAGCCCCTCTGTGTGGAGGACGATTGCTTGCCTTCGGCGCCTGTGCCAGAAAATGGGAGAGGAGCTAACTTTAGCTCATGTGATGAACCTTTATTCCCCTAAGATCTTCCGTGGGGAGATGATCAACTTTAGCAAGTGGGGCCACCATGCGCTGCTGTCTAGCATGGATGATGATAACGACCATGGGTGGATGTAAGGGTTTGTTTCAGTTGCCACTAGTGACATCATCCCGGCCTCGGCTTCTTCCTTCCCAGAACTATGGAACCACACTCATGAGTATATAGTCTGTTTCTTTCCTTGTTAAAGATCCTTTCCTCATCATTATTAACTCTCCTTCTATTTTCTGCCTCAGCGGCTCGGTGGGTTCCCCTTAGGGTTTAAGGCCTGAACCAATAGGTTTAGAAGATTTTGGACATTACCGCGCCCGAAACCCGCTCGTGGAAAGAAATGTCCCTGAAATACGGGTGGAAGGACAAAAATTATGGTAAGTTTAACTTGTTATGTCCTTACCTTTTATTATGAGAAAATTATCTGAATCCTTCCTTCTGTTGAATTTAGGTCTACCCCAAGGCTCAGTTGTTGTCCCCGATGAGGACATTTTGGCTGATCCTGCTGATACGGCGAGGCTGCTGCAAAAAGCTTTTTCACAGACAGGCGTCTCCGGGCCTGTCTTTGGTACAAGTGATTCTTCTCGGAGTCCCCGGCCGGAGAACAAGCAACCAAAAAGAAGGCATTCCTCTGCAGCAGGAGGGAAAAATAAGAGGGCAAAGAAAGATTCCCCCGAGCCGTCTCCGGAAGTCGTGGTAAGGAGCCCTCCGCCCGGGCCGGCCATTGATACCGTGATGATTGACGATGATGGAGAAGCTAGCGAGGAAGGAGCTTCTCTACATAGAAGACGACGACCTTCCTCAACTCAACAGACCTCTCAATCCATTGAGTTAGTTACACCGGCCGAGGACGATGTCTCGACGCTCTGGGGGGAGTATGAAATGGTGGAAAATGCCAACTCCCACTTCCGTGTCTTAGTCGTTGCGCCCGGTATTTTGGGGCTGAGTACCGGGTCCCTTCCATCTTCAGCTGACGAGCAACCAACAACCAGCATTGCGTTTGTCGCATCTGCTTCTCACCCTTCAACTCCATCAGCTTCATCTCTATCTTCACCAATACCAGCAACTGCTACATCATCTCCACCGGCCGCATCTACCCGAGAAGAGGGTGTCCTTCTCCCCCAGTCCCCAGTTCATGGGAATTTGGGGCAAAACTATGCTTCCCCCTCAGAAGATCCGCAAAGGAGGAGGAGTGTTACTCTCTCAGTTTCCACCGGATGTTAATAGCTATTCCGACCGGTGGAACTTGCTAACTATTTGAAGCCTTTGGCTTCAGAAAAAGATTGGGGAAAGATACAGGCTCTCTCTCGAGAGTGCTTGTTGAACAATGCCATGCACAACGCCGCAGCGATACATTCTTTACTTCCTTCGTTATTTCTTTTGCTTTTTCCTAAAAATATCCTAGGTTTGCCTTTCTTGCTCTGTAGGCCAACTTTCTTGCTTCCGAGGGCATCCAAAGGTTGATTCGGGAAAAGGAAGAACTTACCTCCGCACGGGATTAACTTTTGGCCGAGCAGGAGCAAACTGCCGCTCGCCTCTCAAAATTGGAAGCAAAAGCTGCTGAGGCTGTTGTATTGGAGACTCGTTTGTAGCGAAGCGAGCAAGAAGTGGTAGCCCTTAGTCAAGAGATTTGCCCGCTGAGTGTTAAATTTGACGAAGCCAGGGCCAAAAGGGCTGAAGTCCATATCACCGTTCTTGCTGCAACCGACCGCGAGGCTGCTTCCGCTGAAAGATTGACCAACTTAGAGGCAGCCTTGAACTCCAAAACTGACGAGCTTACTGTTGCGGGGGTGAAACATGCCCAGTTAGAGGAGAAGTATAAGAAAACTATCGAGCATAATAGGCTCTTGAGCTCAACTATCCGTGACCTTGATGTTAGCCTCAGATCCGGTAGATCCGCTCGGGAAAACCTTTCTCCCGAGGTAACCCAACTCAAAGAAGAACTTAAGCACCGAGAGGCTTCCCTCGAGAAAACTTACGTTATGTACAACATTTAGAGAAAAACATTGGAAGAGCCCAAAGCTGGTATCATTGACTTTGATGCCGAAATTGCAAAGGCCCGTGAGGTTGAGTTAGCTGCTAAAAGTGGTCTCCAGGTAGAGCCTGATGCTTCTGGTTCTTCCTGTTCCGATTTTGAAACTTCGGGAACTGAAGAGGAAACGAAAGGTGAAGATGTTGAAGGTCAAACTGATGAGGGCCAAAATATTGAGCCATCGACGGATCTACCCACTTCCCCTGGGGGCGCGGACACTTCTCTTCCTCCGGGTTCCGGAGATGCAACAATTTAGCTATTCTTTTCTTTTTCCAACTTTTGTATCTGTGCCATTTTGGCACGTTATTGTAAATAAAAGCATCCTTTTTCTCAAGTATTGTTTGAGTCTTTCTTTCGTTTGAACATTTATGCAAGTTTTAATCTTTGCATTCTCTTCGTTTTGCTTAAGAGTTTTGCGCAAGTTTTACTGTTTGCGTCTTATTATGTGAAGCCTTGGGTGTATTTTTCCCCGAAAGCATTTTGATTCCGGGCATAAGTTCTACCAAAATCAACCCCTTAATACGAGGGTTTTCATAAGATAGGGCCCTCTTATGTTTACGGTGCTCTTGAAGAGGACGTCTCATATTCATTACAGCACTAGCACTTGAAGTACTTGTTTAACTTCCAAATGATAAAATCAATTCATCGATCAGACAAGAAATAAGATGAAAAATAAAAGGACTTTACTTTATTCCTTTCGTTTTCAAAAAGTACATAACCATTCATTATGTTAAAGAGAAATTGCCATTTCTTGTGGCTGATTTATACAACTTGTTTCTACGGGGCTGTCCGCGTAGTCCCTATGACACAATTATGTTCCCGGTTTTTGTGCTCCGGTTGACGTGGCAGTCATTGCTACTGCATTCTCATATCATCCCTCCCCCCAATGTTCAAATGCGAAGAATGCGAATTGGAACATTGGGAATCTTGTACCTTCGAGGAACCCACTAATGAATTGCTAAACAACCTTTCGCTCGGTAACAAACTTCGCTTCCCCTTAGGATTTTATGCTATCGAGCAAATGACTATCTAACAATCCTTTAGTGGTTTGCACTTGTGAACGGTTGGGTAACCTTCCAGTGGGAATTTTGCTATAGAGCCAAAGATTATCTAACCGCCCCGGAGTGGTTCTTCACTTGCGTGCCTTGCTATTAAAGGTCTTATTGCTGCCGTTGAAACTTTCTTCGTAGTATGATTTTCGTTGCTGCCTTGTCAAAAACCTTGCCAGAAAAATCCAATTGGAACAAAAACTGGACGAAGGAAAAAAGAGTGCAG